TTTGTTTTCACCGGCCCCTGGTATCCTTTCAGGGGCCCATATCAGCTTCCCTAAGTGGTGGTTTGGATTGGTGGCTTGGAGGTGTTCCGGGGCAGCGTCTCATTTACTCTGTACATGCAGTCGCCCCGACCCAATATTTAGTGACCCTTATTTAGGGGGGAAAAATGTGATCCCTCATTCAATGGTGCCCAAACTCCTGAATCCCCTCGAAAGATGTTGACTTAAGCCGAACTGACCAACACGTCTTTCTCCAACAAATTCGCAAGCGAGGGGCACAAAAGCTACCGCGAAGTGTACATGTTCGGCGGATGCTCTCTGGTCTCAACTCCGAGCTCGAATTCTGTGGCATTGATTCGGCGCGACAGCCAATGTGCATCCTACCCAAACCTCCAAATCAAGCTTCTATTGCAACTGGCCCTTACTCACCAAACAGCCGGGGAAACGAAAGCAGTGCAAATCTCCATGGGAGGTGGCGGGGAAAGGAAGCAGGCGGGACTCCAGCCTTCTTGCAGTCGCCACACTTAGGGGCCTTGGCCGTCTTGGTGAGGGTCTGGAAGACAGCCCGGCCTCAATAGGCGGGTTACTGGGTCCAGGGCATCCTCAAAAATACAATGTGGGAACACCGCAATATGTTTACTCCAAGGCAGGTTTGGGAAGGCCGGGCCCTTCTTTTTGGATCAAGCAAACGAGCCTCAGCCTCACAAATCAGGGCCCCCCAAACGAAATGGCAGTGGCTGGTGTTTTGTTGAAAGTCGCCAAAAGGAAAAGAGTGCGGGTAGCCAACATTGAGCAACTAGGAACGATCAGAATGCTTGGAGCCAAACGATCAAACTAAAGTCTGCCGTCATGTGCCAACAGCTGATTCTTTGCCAGTGTCTGTCATTCTGGACGGCTTGGCTGGCTGATTTGAGATCGACATTCCTCCTGCTGCGTCTACATTGCTGCGAGACATGGTGCTTTTGTCGTCTTTGTTACTGCTGGTGTGGCTGCTGCTGCTGCGGCGGCTACTGCTGCAAGAAACAAAAATGCACCTTCCTTCGCGGGGACATTGTTCGGAATCGGCCAAGCTGGGCCCCATTTTGGCGGAATACATGTTGCAGCTCTCGCCGCAATATCGCCTTGTGATGGCTCAACACTATACATCCCAAACGAGAACAAATCGCTACCTTCTCCTACATTGAGTTCTGTAGTTCTGTAGTATCCACCTTGGGCTATGTTCAAAGGAAGTTCAAAGTTGACCTACCCTTTTTAGGGGGTCCCTCATTTAGACACATCGCACTTATCCCTGCTGTTCGTTGGATGATCTTGCGCGTGACGGAGCAACAAATTGGAGTCTCTTTCGTTTTGCGAAAGATGGTGGATAAACTCCGAATTGGACCCTGAATTGGGGTTGCTTCCTGAAGGCATGTGAAGGCTTCCCTGTTGAACATTTGGATACTTAGACGAGCATCTACCCAGGGCACCCAGAAGGTGGATGAGAAGATCTGGTAGATGTGCGCCCAAGCCCGGCAAAGGCGAACATGAACGTATGGATAAGAGACTCCCAGGGGAGAATGTTTAAACCAAAAATAGTTGTTTGCTCATTGTAGTTTCATTTGTGTTAGTGTTTTATGTTCATTCGGGTGTTCACTTGATTTTCATGTGTTGAGAACATTTCCAGAGTCCGAAAATGGAGGAACGCCAGCAAAATGAAAACAAAACGAAAACACAAATGAAAACCAACTGAAAACATCCGAGTGTTTTTGCATTTGTTGTGTTCCTGCGTCCCAAAATGGAGGAAAACCAGCAAATGAAAATAAAATGAAGAAAACATTAAATATAATGAAGCATTCCTCGAGTTTTTTTTTGCATTTGTGTGTTGCTGTGTCCCACAATGGAGGAACACCGGCAAAAAGAAAATAACATGACAGCACACATGAAAACAACTTGAAAACATGCTAGAGTGTTTTTGCATTTGTTGTGTTCCTGCGTCCCAAAATGGAGGAAAACCGGTAAACGAAAATAAAATGAAAACACAAATTAAATATAATAAAGCATTCCTCGAGTTTGTTTTGCATTTGTGTTTTGCTGTGTCCCACAATGGAGGAACACCGGCAAAAAGAAAATAACATGACAACACACATGAAACAAATTGAAAACATGCTCGAGTGTTTTTGCATTTGTGTTTTCCTGCGTCCCACAATGGAGGAACACCAGCAAAATGGAAATGAAATGAAAACACAAATTCAATAGAATGAACCATTCCTCGACACATGAACATAAAATGAAAACACAAATGAACATATAATTGTTTCCCAAACCCAAGCCTGTGGCCATAAGCATCGCTCAAACGTATGGTCTCAGTAGTGCTCGTTGGATACCGGCCCACAAGACGGAATTCAACGCCCTAGCACCTCAAACCAGCATGGACAAACATGGTTCATGCTCAGTGCTTTCCATCCAACAAGGGATCACATCTAAAACTCGGGAGTACACCAGGTGCCACACAGCGCCTGACAGCAAGACAAGTTGGGCGGCGGGCCACCAGGGGTCTTCACCACACGCTGCTTGTTGCCCTTGGTGTTGTATCGGCACCTCGGTGGAAAAGATGGGCAGTTCCTTTGCTTCAGGTAGCTTCGAACCATTTTTCTTGCTATGCTTGTGGATTGAATATTGGGTGGTCCCCTGCTTTGCTGGGGGGTACATGCGAACGACAAATGCGAAGTTCAATAGGAAGGTGATTGTTTGCTTGGAAGCATGCACGCACGTGTGCAATGCGCTTTTCGACAAGGAACTCAGCAAGGCATGAACCGCAGAAACATGGGAACCTGCAAACAGTAGCGGCATCTATTCATTGGCCTTCATCTCTGTTTTGCAAAGCTAGGCGACGCGCAGCCGGCAAGCAACGGGCACGCTGGCACTTGGAAGAGCCTTGGGGCCTTGGGGGTACGAGGGCTGCATTCTTCAGGGTACCCAACATTGGGGTGGTTCAAATAGAAATTCAGAGCGATACCAGCTATACTGGGCTTTCCCAGTTGACTGACACCTTGAACAAACTCCTTTTGGGGAGACCAAGGTGGGCAAAAGTTGTGTGTGTGTGTTTGCTTTTTTTGTTTCCGGATGCAAGTAGACACCAGCCTGCCAGCGCATCCTTTGCCTGCTGCCCCAAATAACGAAGAGGAATGAAAGGGCGGGATGTGGTGTGATTGTTAGCTTCTAATCCGTTTCCATTCTGTATTGCATTCCCAGTTTGACGCAGCAATGGTCTGGAATTGGATGTCGAAAACCACACAGACTCGTAGGCATTGTTACGGCACCTTCAAGTCTCTGAACAGAACCACACAACAGCTGCTATGCGCCTTGTCCCTCCCTCTGGGACAATCGCTGCCGGCGGTATGTCAAGCGGAAGGCCATCTTTACCTCTGCAATCGGCAGAGAAAGCCGTTTCTTCTGTAGGCAAAGACCCTTCGTCACATCTGTTGGAGGTCCAGGCTCAAGTGTCCTGCGGTTTGCATGGGAAAACCGCCTTTTGCATTCGAGAGTTGGGAACAAGAACAAAATGGTTCCACCCCCGCCGTAAAAAGGGAGAAAACAAAAGGTGGCCACACCAGTTTGTGGGTAGGCTCACAGCTTGTCAATGGCCGACTGTGGACAGCATCACCTATTGGGTTAAGTCGTTGAACCTGCCTGACACGGGAAATGTCACTCCCTAAAGCATTGGACTGAAGAAGCATCTCAGTCTGTTCTGGGCGGAAACAACGGAAGATGAACATCTGCAGAAACATTCACGCAGCAATCCATTTGCCATGTCATTCGGTGACAATTGACACCGCCTGGTTTCAAAGCAGGCTCCTATGATTGGAGGCCACCGGGTTTCATCCAAAATCAGTTTCGCCGTGAAGCCATCCAGATTATCTCAGTTCTTGCCCAGCCCAAAATACTATACGTTTGGTAGTGCCCAGAACTGTGGACCGTACTTAGTGACGAAGGTGCAAATGGCAAAAGAGATTCAAGCAAGCTCCCTTAACCTCGGCAAAGAAGCTGACCCACGCCTAGAATCCAGGCGCAAACGCCCCGCACGCAGAGATGAATGTGTTCCGAGCCAAGCTCAGCAAATGGCAAGGCTGCAGATTAGCGCCTTGGGCGGCCTAAAGAAGTCTAGAAGATCCCGGTACAGGTGGTTGCAGTAGTGGAGGATGTGGACGGTGGCCGGTTCCCCGCAAGCACGTAATGTTTTTTGTGAGCACGAGCTTAGATTCTGCGAACCTCTTAGACTGTTAGACACAGAAAATGTCAGACTCTTCAAAATGGAGGATCTATCTGTTGGTTGGTATTGAAAGGGACACGGGACTCCAACCAGTTTTGGAGAGCAATTTCTATTTTGACAACCCTCCAAATGTGAGCAATGATACGCGAACCTGCACCATAGGAAAAGCCAGGCCCATGGTTTGTCTTTGGAGTTCTGAGCAGCAAAGATATCCGGTCAAACAACAGCCTGACATGTGTGGCTATTGCCAGAGTACCAGTAAGTGGAAGACGCGTGAAAGAATGCGCAGTGCACATGAAGCTCCGCCAGAAACCAAGAGCCGGAACCTCAAAACCGTCCTATCGTGGAGAAATCATCAAATCCTTTTGGCAACCATTTTTGCCATCCCACGAATGGCTGTCAGGGCTGAAGTACTTTCGCGGAGAAAAAGCTCCCAAGAAGCTGTACGACTCTTGAGGCCTGCTCAAGTCCCTTCTGCCCACTTTTTGCCAGCGCAGCCAAGCATTCCTGCGCGGTTCCTGACATCATTCAAGGAGTCTCGCAATTCATTACATGTGAGGCCCTGTCTGGAAACGCTTCGGGCCATGAAAGAAGAGTTCAGCAAATGGGCCTGAATCCGCCAGCTTGACAAACACGGCAATAGTAATTGAGTCCAAAAAGGGAAATTGAGGGACCCCTGGTTGAAGCAGCTTGTCTCGCCCCTGAAAAAATCGAAGGCCGGTTCCAGAAAGGGCAGAGGCTGTCCATCGAGCGCTCAGAGGTTCCGCCTGGCTTGGGTGTGTCTCAACATATGGGAACGCAAAAAGTGGTGTTCTTTTGGCTTCCCTTTAACACCACAAAGGAGTGAACCATTTTGAGAAACCCCCATATGTTCAAACTCTATTCAACGACCTTCAGAACTTCATTTGGCTGGTTCATTGAAACAGGCTCCAACAACCAAAGCTCTGCTTTGTTCACTCCAAATGTGCCATGATCAAAACTCTCTGTGTCATGGCCTTAACCTCAATCCATTGACTGCCTGGTGCCACATGTAAACACATAAATTCCCACAACGAAAACCAAAGGGCTTCCGGGCGTAGTGCACAAATTGCTCCAAACACCTCACGCCAAGTGCTCACCACTCGAGCCCTGGCTCTCCGCTTCGGCCTCCGCCGGGTGTAGCAGAACCCCCAGCGCCTCCTCCGACTGCAGCCTACGCCCTCGCAGGATGCCCGCGGCGAGAGTCGAATGGCGGCGCGAAGGACGTTTGCCCTGTACTCGAACGAACGAAGCCTGGCAGGTCAGGAATATAGTTACGTTGATGCAAGAGGTAATTAACCCGCATGAGGCTTCTGCTTGGTGACCCCCACGTCTGATCCCACTTGCACATCAACATCAAGACAGCTGGTTTAGGACTGGGCACGTGAAAAAACGTGCAGAAGATTGCGCGCTCACAGCCTTATGCAGTCTCCCCCGACCCACTGCCCCACTGGCTCCCCCACAACAGGCCAGAATCGCGTGGGCCTTTCTGTTCGGAGAAAAGCTCATGCATCCCACCATGCAACAGCAGGGGAAATGAAGGGAAGCCCAAATCTGGCAATGTTAAAAGGACGCATAAGGACGCTGATCCCTCCATCCCCGATCCCCGCCGTGTTGTCCGCATCGGGCATCGCCGTGGAGAAGTGGTTCTCCGCAACCTTCGTGAGGTTCGCCTGTGGGGAACCCAAACGAATCGAGGCGACCTGTGCAAGTGCTGAACAAGAATTGTTCAAAAACATCCTTCCTCATGCCTTCCCCGTTTTCAACACCCTGAAGAACAAGGATTTGGTGGGGGGGGAGTGCTCGTACATCTCCCTCTAACAATCACTATTCAGCGGAGCTTGGCAAACAGGAACTAAGAAGTATGTATATAAAAGCTAATGGGTACGTTTACAGGCTCGCTTGAATTCTCTGTGCTTCGCTGCACCCTGCCAGCCTTTTCACCTTCCTGCGACACAAGCAATTAGAGGAAGGTGGGGATGTTTACCACAGTGCAAACACGTTTGACTGAACACACGCAGCATGACAGTAAGCACCCACTTCACCGTGCAACCACGTTGGACTGAACACACAAATCATGATGGTCAGTCCCTACTCCACAGGTTAAACACGTTGGACTCAACACGCGCACACACACACACACACACACGGCACGATGGTAAGCACCCACGCCAAATGCAAACACGTTTGGCTGAGCCACGCAGCATGATGCTAAGCAACCTCTCCACAGTGCAAACACGTTTGACTGAACACACACACACACAGCACGATGTCAAGCACCCAAAAAGATCAGGCAAAAGAAACAACAAAAGGTCACATGAAACGATGGCTCGACGACTCGTCAAAGATCGACTCGCTGGTAATAAGAAAAACATCCATTTTGCTCGTTTGCTTGTTGGTAGGTGGGCAACTGGTCATACCCTGCTGGTTTACTTGTCCCTTAAACCCAACCAGTCAACCGCCAGGATACGCCAGGATACCCCGAAGCGACCTTCGCCTCTCGCCTTGGATCCATCGTCTCCCTCCACGTCCTCGCCGGAAGCTCTGGCCACCGTCTCCTCCGTGGCGGCGGAGTCCTGCCAAAAGTTTGGAGCGAGTGGGATTTTTTTCCTTGGGCCGACCCAATGGGTTTTGGGTGTGGTTTTGAGTCTCGGCCTTTCGCCTTGGTTCTATGGGAAACCAAGAGGAAAACCAACTTCGACACATACAAATCGGCATGCTAATAAGGAGAACATCACGCAGTCACGCCAAACTGGATATATTAAACTACTGGCACTGGTGAGGACAAATAGAATACAAATTGGCCATGTGAGTCATCTCCACTGGCCTGGAAAGTGCTCGTGCCATGAATCAAAGCTCGCAGGGGGATAATTTGACATCCCTGCCCTGATAAGACAACACTCATGACTCATAATGGCGAAGATACTTTTTGCAAGCTCCAACTGAGCTTAACGCTGTTTTACCACGTTACCCCCCCCCCCCCCCTGTGGTAGCTTGATGGAAACCAACATGAACCGTTCCTTTTCGGAACTGATGCGCCTAACATCTTCTCTGCACCTTGTACCATTTGCGGGAAACGAGTGGCAAAGGCCGTTGCCGTCCTTGGCCGAGCTGTCCTTCGCCTTGCTGTCCTTGGGGGCCGCGGATTTGGCCGAGCTGTCCTCCTTGGCGACCTCCGGATACACCTGGGGCACACCTCAGATTGGTCCGGAGCCAAAGGTTCCGGAAAGGTGCGGCTGTCAACGGAGGAGGAGGGGCCGTTGGGGTTGGTCCGTGGGGAGGGGGTATGAACCAGACAAGGAGGAATTCATCAAGGTGAATAGATGACTAGTAAGCAGGAATACCACTGGAACTAGTTCACAGTGCGACCCAGGCTGAGCGTCCCCTTGTGGCCGTGCGTTGAAGTTGAAAGATTGATGCCCACGCTTGAGCACGACCACTGGGTCCGCAACCCCCCCAGCCTGGTCTATGAGGACCTCACAGTTCCGAAGACCTTTATCTTGGCATGTCTGAATTGGCTCAACTTCGGCCACTTACAACTCAACACCAATGAGGCAGATCATAGGTGTGCGTTTGTGTGGCAGAATCTTTAGAATTACTGCTCACTTGCTGCTGACTCACACGATGAATTCATCGTCGTCAAACATGCCTGAACATGCACCCCTCCCCCATTCAGCCAGGTTCATTCCTCCGGGACTCTTCAGATGGCACCAAGTTGATTTCACAGGGCGGTGATCCGTTCTCAGAAAAGACTCTGATCAATCTGGGCGACGTGTGATAAATTTCACGAAATCCAAAAGCCCCAAGAAAGGAGCCTCGTTCATGGGCAGTATCGGCGGATATGGCGCGAGTCCAGTTGCCAGAAAATGGCCAAGGTTCCTCATATGTCTACATATGGCCCCTTTAAACGCTAGACCCCCAAATTGCCCCGAAACGTGATGATTCAACCACCAGGGCACATTTCTGCAGGACATCTCCGCCATCGGGGAAACGCGAGTGGGTGTGATATTTTTCAAGGGTACCCTTGTTGTTTAACTGGTTTAAGGGGAAACCACGATGTAAACACCCTTTTTGGGGGTTCCCTGCCGCTCTGAGGCCGGCACAGGCCCCGCAGCTCACGGGGCATTTCCTGCGCCAAAGTCCCCGCGTGTTAAAGGGCGCGTTCAAGCGGTCCCTTGTGGGGGGTTCAAAGAGATTCAATGGCGGAAAATGTCTGACAGCTTAGACCTTGTCAGCCCAATTTGAGACACACACACACTTGATATGAGACGGCGAAACTGCGAAGGTGCACCCCGAAACGTAGGAAGTCGCATGCACGGAATCAGGTTGGAGTTTCGGCATGGCTCACTCAGGTCGTTGTTCCCGACAGCGGGCATCCTCTTCAACGGAGTGCCAACACCCAGCTGTCAGTACTTCACGCCGTTGTTCACCATGGTGGCACCCGACTCCAAACTCAAAAGGACAGCGGAAACCCCTTAGAAACAGGGGGGCCACACACACACCCCCCGCAGGGGGAAAAAACCTAAGAGCCGCCTCCATCATGATTCCCGATGGGTAATTTGGTCTGTTTGCGGAACTCCTGCCTATGCTCAATTGCTCGCGGTCACTTTGACCCTTGTCCATGATGGAGCTGGGAATATTGGCCTTTTTGATGCTCGGCTGACCAGCATGGGTGTGCGCCATGGAGCTCTTCGGGCGCGGGTCTATAGCCTCGTTGGCATCCCCCGTGATGATGCCGTAGGACAACGACTTGGGGTTAGCCACTGCGTTGTGCTGGTGGTCCACGTGTAGCTGGAGTGACTGAAAGTCGACTGGTGGTGGAGGGTCGGCCAGATCCTCCGAGTTGAGCGAATGCTGAATCCCGGGGCCAGGTGGTTCCACCTCATCGAGTCCAGCATGCTCGTGTGCTCGCGGTCGCGATGATTCCGCCAACGACAGACCTCGGACATGTTGCTGCCGCACGCAATCGTGCCCGCCATGAAGCCTGCGACTTGCCATACATGTACATGACCGTGATGAACTGCAGGAGTGCTCGCTTCGATCCCTTGCTCACCAAGGAGATGGGGGCCCCCCATTTGACTGCAATGGTTTTCAACTGCTCCACCGTGCCGTCCAGGAAGTTGCCGAAGAGGTCGCGGTACAAGAAGTCCAGGAAGCAATACTGAGAAGCCATCACAAGATGCCCAGGAAGCAGTTGAAGAAGTTGCCGTGCACAAGTGTCAGGAAGTAGCCAGAGAAATACCGTGCCGTCCAGGAAGTTGCCGAAGAGGTCGCGGTACAAGAAGTCCAGGAAGCAATACAAGATGCCCAGGAAGCAGTTGAAGAAGTTGCCGTGCACAAGTGTCAGGAAGTAGCCAGAGAAATACCGTGCCGCCAGGAAGTTGCCGAAGAGGTCGCGGTACAAGAAGTCCAGGAAGCAATACAAGATGCCCAGGAAGCAGTTGAAGAAGTTGCCGTGCACAAGTGTCAGGAAGTAGCCAGAGAAATACCGTGCCGTCCAGGAAGTGCCGAAGAGGTCGCGGTACAAGAAGTCCAGGAAGCAATACAAGATGCCCAGGAAGCAGTTGAAGAAGTTGCCGTGCACAAGTGTCAGGAAGTAGCCAGAGAAATACCGTGCCGTCCAGGAAGTTGCCGAAGAGGTCGCGGTACAAGAAGTCCAGGAAGCAATACAAGATGCCCAGGAAGCAGTTGAAGAAGTTGCCGTGCACAAGTGTCAGGAAGTAGCCAGAGAAATACCGTGCCGTCCAGGAAGTTGCCGAAGAGGTCGCGGTACAAGAAGTCCAGGAAGCAATACAAGATGCCCAGGAAGCAGTTGAAGAAGTTGCCGTGCACAAGTGTCAGGAAGTAGCCAGAGAAATACCGTGCCGTCCAGGAAGTTGCCGAAGAGGTCGCGGTACAAGAAGTCCAGGAAGCAATACAAGATGCCCAGGAAGCAGTTGAAGAAGTTGCCGTGCACAAGTGTCAGGAAGTAGCCAGAGAAATACCGTGCCGTCCAGGAAGTTGCCGAAGAGGTCGCGGTACAAGAAGTCCAGGAAGCAATACAAGATGCCCAGGAAGCAGTTGAAGAAGTTGCCGTGCACAAGTGTCAGGAAGTAGCCAGAGAAATACCGTGCCGTCCAGGAAGTTGCCGAAGAGGTCGCGGTACAAGAAGTCCAGGAAGCAATACAAGATGCCCAGGAAGCAGTTGAAGAAGTTGCCGTGCACAAGTGTCAGGAAGTAGCCAGAGAAATACCGTGCCGTCCAGGAAGTTGCCGAAGAGGTCGCGGTACAAGAAGTCCAGGAAGCAATACAAGATGCCCAGGAAGCAGTTGAAGAAGTTGCCGTGCACAAGTGTCAGGAAGTAGCCAGAGAAATACGTGCCGTCCAGGAAGTTGCCGAAGAGGTGCGGTACAAAAGTCCAGGAAGCAATACAAGATGCCCAGGAAGCAGTTGAAGAAGTTGCCGTGCACAAGTGTCAGGAAGTAGCCAGAGAAATACCGTGCCGTCCAGGAAGTTGCCGAAGAGGTCGCGGTACAAGAAGTCCAGGAAGCAATACAAGATGCCCAGGAAGCAGTTGAAGAAGTTGCCGTGCACAAGTGTCAGGAAGTAGCCAGAGAAATACCGTGCCGTCCAGGAAGTTGCCGAAGAGGTCGCGGTACAAGAAGTCCAGGAAGCAATACAAGATGCCCAGGAAGCAGTTGAAGAAGTTGCCGTGCACAAGTGTCAGGAAGTAGCCAGAGAAATACCGTGCCGTCCAGGAAGTGCCGAAGAGTCGCGGTACAAGAAGTCCAGGAAGCAGATACAAGATAGGAAGTGTTTTGCCGTGCACAAGTGTCAGGAAGTAGCCAGAGAAATACCGTGCCGTCCAGGAAGTTGCCGAAGAGGTCGCGGTACAAGAAGTCCAGGAAGCAATACAAGATGCCCAGGAAGCAGTTGAAGAAGTTGCCGTGCACAAGTGTCAGGAAGTAGCCAAGAAATACCGTGCCGTCCAGGAAGTTGCCGAAGAGGTCGCGGTACAAGAAGTCCAGGAAGCAATACAAGATGCCCAGGAAGCAGTTGAAGAAGTTGCCGTGCACAAGTGTCAGGAAGTAGCCAGAGAAATAGCGTGCCGTCCAGGAAGTTGCCGAAAGGTCGCGGTACAAGAAGTCCCGGAAGCAATACAAGATGCCCAGGAAGCAGTTGAAGAAGTTGCCGTGCACAAGTCAGGAAGTAGCCAGAGAAATACCGTGCCGTCCAGGAAGTCGCCGAAGAGGTCGCGGTACAAGAAGTCCAGGAAGCAATACAAGATGCCCAGGAAGCAGTTGAAGAAGTTGCCGTGCACAAGTGTCAGGAAGTAGCCAGAGAAATACCGTGCCGTCCAGGAAGTTGCCGAAGAGGTCGCGGTACAAGAAGTCCAGGAAGCAATACAAGATGCCCAGGAAGCAGTTGAAGAAGTTGCCGTGCACAAGTGTCAGGAAGTAGCTAGAGAAATACCGTGCCGTCCAGGAAGTTGCCGAAGAGGTCGCGGTACAAGAAGTCCAGGAAGCAATACAAGATGCCCAGGAAGCAGTTGAAGAAGTTGCCGTGCACAAGTGTCAGGAAGTAGCCAGAGAAATACCGTGCCGTCCAGGAAGTTGCCGAAGAGGTCGCGGTACAAGAAGTCCAGGAAGCAATACAAGATGCCCAGGAAGCAGTTGAAGAAGTTGCCGTGCACAAGTGTCAGGAAGTAGCCAGAGAAATACCGTGCCGTCCAGGAAGTTGCCGAAGAGGTCGCGGTACAAGAAGTCCAGGAAGCAATACGAGATGGGAGTGTGCCGTCAACACTGCTAATGGGTTAAAAGCTAGGGGTACGCCACACATTGCCGAGACAACATACATTGCCAAAATGACACCCGAATTTCAACCGGGCTCGGGGCAGTTTGAAACCGGGAAACTGCATTAGTCACACGAAGCATCAAAAAGGAAAAAACAAGCGTACTCCTGCTCGGTGATGCTGACTGGGGGCGAGACATCTATTGCCAACAATTGCGAGCCAAGAGCAAGCTGACGGCGTCGTGATTTTTCACCTGACGTGTCGGGTAGTCTGATTGGTTGTCGAACAGTTGGTCTGACAGAAAAGGTTCACGGAAACAGTCTGGGGTGCCGAAAGGTCTGGGAGAGGTCCAAGCCTGTATTGAGAAGATCAGCTGGAACAGTCAAGCGTCACGAGCGACAAGGTCCGGTAACTGTCTGTAGAAAATGTCAGTGCATGAGTCGGAACAGATGCCCACAACAGGGATCAAGACACTGACCGAAGCCCGGACGCAGTGCCTAAACACACTTGATATGAGACGGCGAAACTGCGAAGGTGCACCCCGAAACGTAGGAAGACGCATGCACGGAATCAGGTCGGCATGGCTCACTCAGGTCGTTGTTCCCGACAGCGGGCATCCTCTTCAACGGAGTGCCAACACCCAGCTGTCAGTACTTCACGCCGTTGTTCACCATGGTGGCACCCGACTCCAAACTCAAAAGGACAGCGGAAACCCCTTAGAAACAGGGGGGCCACACACACACACACACACACACACAAACTCTTGTGAAACGGCCAAAATGGGCTCGAATCAACACGAGGGCCGCATTGCTCGAAAAAGCAAACTGGGACTTTCTGCTCGAGGGAGGTAAAGGCGTGCAAATAAATGCTGGTTGACAGGAGAAATGGCCTATGAATCCAACCAAATCTGGACGGGAGAAGTGCATGACATGGGCGTCTGTGTGAAGGGAGGACTCTCGCACTGCAGGCCTCTAATGTCGACTCCGGAGTGATAGACTGGGTGTTCCCCCAGAAGTCAAGGATTCCCACTAAATGGGACACCCACCTAGCAATCGACCAGCTGTTGACACCTCAGGGCTCAAGTGTCCGGAGGCTGTCGAACTTATGGCGACTTCCGTTATCTCGCCAAATAGGTGCCTGAAAACGCTGCCAACAGGAAGGTGTCTTGAACTGAAGGTGTCCTCGCTTTGACGCAGCTTTCAACATGGAATTTCGGGGCCGGCCTTGGCTCGCCCTACCCCCTTTGATGAAGCCTCGAGCCCTTCTAGCGCTGTGTTGTGGGGACATGAGAGGCCTCCCTTGAGACTCTTGAAAACTGACGTGAACAAACGGAGAATCATGCGCTGACAGAGCCTTGCATGTAGCGAGACGGGATTCTGCGTCACACCCAGTGTCAGGCCTTTCTTTCTGAGACCTCGCCATGCTGTGCTGCTTGTTTCTGTGCATAAAAGAGTGGCACAAAGGAAAGTATTGGTCCATCTACACCCCGTCAACGACCTAAAAAATCATTGTCGGTCCCCCGTCTCGACTTCCGAAGTCCATAGACCGGCTTCAGTTTCTGTTGTGGTTGAAACCAGCGGCAACTCCACGATGCTTGAAAGGCATGCCCAAGAAAGATCATATGGGTATGTGTGAAAATAGGTGACCCTTAAAATAGTGGTTTTATCCTTGGTTTCTCTTTAAGACCAACCCAAAAAGTCTACCCTCCTATACCCAACATCGATCTGAATTCTCAGGTAGCATCCTATCGAATCAAAGTAGCATCGACAAAGCTTGAGATCATAGTGCAATCGTATCCTTGTGCCTCCACATCTGACATAGAATGCAATTCAGCAGCTCGGGCCAGAAGCCGCATGGATGATGTCCCGACAAAGAGACACTAAAACGTACAAATATATGATCGAAACTAGGGACCCACGAAGGTCAAATTCAGTGCCCTTCTAGAAAGCCATCCCAAACAGGCAGCGAAGTCTTTACCTCTTTTCGGCTCGAAGGACTAAGGCGCAACGGCGCCTCTGGATCGTAGAGGAGTTCACGTGGTGGAAGCAGAAGCGACTGGCCAAAAGCCCCAAACGTCCCTTGAATCCAAGCAACCGGCCAACCAACCGACCGACCAACCAGCCAGCCAGCCAGCCAGCCAACCAACCAACCAACCAACAATCGGGTTTACTTGAAACTTGTGTTTCCCCAGCAGAGGCCATGTCTGAATCACAGCACGTGGAACACCTCATATAACATGGTAACATGGCATTGACACACACACACACACAATCACACACACACACACACACACACACCTAAATGAGAGTGAATGGAAACTGGCAGTGGCACTGCAGGGAAACTGCGCAATCACCATTTCCAAACCCCAAAAGCCTTCCCCCACTCCCTTCACAAATCGGCGCTTGGTGAAGTCTTCCATGCCTGACAACCAGGCTTGGGCAAAACATCCTTGAACAGCCAACCCCTGGTCTTCAACGAGAACCAAAAGGAGGATACTGTTAAAACAAAGGTGGTCTAAATCATGGCTTCGACAAGTTGAATCGCCGAGCCCTGCCTCTGCGGAGCATTCGCCCAATTCCCCGCCTCACGTTGGAGCAGGCCTGGGCCTTGCCGAAGAGGGTGAGCACCGGGGAGTCCTGGATGCTCTTATCCTTGCATCCTGCGGGTTCTGCAAACTCCGGCAAACACGGCTTTGACCGCCATCTTTTTCCGCCGCATCGACCAGAGCCTTTCCAGCGGACCAAGGGTCCAAATTATTCATCCGCAAGGTGTACAATAATGTCCAAAACCTGACATAAGGAATCCTCAACGTAAAGGACTTTCTGGTGAGCTGGGCTTACCTCCGGATCAGTTCGTGCCTGTGTTGGTGGAATTGCTCGCCAGGCTATCGGTCGCCATCAAGCTGGCAGTAATTCTCTAACGGCAAACAGGCGATTCAAGGGCCAAGACCTCAAAGCGACACCCGCGCCGCTCTCTTGACTGATCCCTGCCACATTCGCCGTCCTTCTGAGAGGAGATCCTCCTCTTCACTCAGAGTAGTTTCATCACCTGGCAAGAGCCAAGGGGGACCGGGCAAAGGGTTGTACAGGAACTCCCAGCTACACTGGTTGGGGCCCCAACAAAGCAAGTTGGGAGAGAAATGTAACATCCGCCTCTAAAGTTGCCTTTGGGAACACTTGGAAGGTTCTGCAGCATCGACATCTCATGGTCTCCTGCCCAGGAAAGCATGTCAGGAGTGCAAGACCGGGGAGAGTCTGAATGGAGCCCTGAGTAATCAATCAACACGAGCCTATTTTGGTTTTCAAAAAACAAGCTCTAAGATTCAAACAAGCTCACAAAGAAGGGATTGTCAACAAAAGCAACTGCTGTCAAGGTTGGTATGTTCCCAGAAAAATATGAAACACGACAGTAAACAAAGGACCTTTAACCATTCCATCAATCCCAAGTGACCAAATGAATGAATTGGATCACATACTCGCAGCGACTCCATTCCAGGCACTTGTTCCTTCCCAACCGGACAAAACCAACCGCCAAAGCTGCACAAAGGCCAATGTCGGGAATCTGAGCTTCTAATCAGGTTCCTCTGAGGAGTGAAAAAAGTGCCTTGCTTTTGCTTGCAAAGCTAAACAAGGCCCCAGGTGACACCTGAAGTCTCCTCATCGCTCTCGGGAGTGCACGCGAACCTCAGCCAAGGGGTTTATTTTTGTGTGTGTGCGATTTTTGAGGGCGCCTGTTTGGGCTTGCTTATATAAATGGAAACCACCCATTTTTGCGGTCTCTATTTGGCACATACCCTCACAATGGGCATCAAACGGCCCAGCCACCAACATCCAAATTGTCTACCGATTGTTTTGGAAGGACAGAGAAGGGGCATTCAACTGACTTACAGTCTTGTTTTGGATTGAACTGTCATTTGACGTCATATGTTGCATCGCTGCAAAGAAAACTGCGCAAACACAAAAGTGGTGTTGATGTCTTCACTCGTGGGCAGCGTTCAATCCATTCGAATTCACAATGCCCCAAGTCTGAAAAACAACACCAATCTACTCTTGCTGGGGGTACGGGTGAGCAGCGCACAACTGGACGGAAAGCCAGCCAAGAGCTCGAAACAAGCCCATATGAGTCAGCGTCAAAATTACTTGTCTGGGGTGTATTCATTCCGATGTTGGGACGTCCCGTATCGTTTTTCAGGTTTTGTTCTCAGGTTTGGGGGTATCGTTTTTGTTGGATGGCCCGTGTCGTTTTTCGAGAAAACCAAAAACAACATGTGCATGGAACACTCCTACATAAAGTAGATGACGGAAATTTTGAAGCCGACTCATATAGGCCTTGCCCTCACTACCCCTCACGAAGCCAGGAAGAACCTGCCATGGCCAACAGGGCTCCGTTTTCGTTTCGGGCGCCCCCAGAGGCCGCCGAGGCGCCCTTGCTCCAGGCAGGTGGCCGGGCATGCCGCCCGAACCTGCCCGAAAGCCAAGTTTGAAGTCAGTTGACAGGCTCCCAATGCGTAGAATAACCCGCAGACAAATGGCCGGCCGGACGGACGCACAGAAGGACGGACGGAAGAACGGAGGAAGAGAGAGCAAGAGAGCAAGAGAGAGAGAGAGAGAGAGAGAGAGAGATCCTTTGTCCGCTTCCCATTTCCGATTAGCAAACGTAGCACAGCCAAGCAATACTCGGTCGAATCAATGCCCCTTGATGTACCCTCCCACCCAACAAGGAAGTGTACGGCTCTTTCGAAAGACTTCCACACACTTTTTGAGCTAAACTTCCATCTCAGGTGGGGTATATGTCGAATATGCAGTGGGCCCCTCCCCTCAACCCCTCACGGGTCTTCCGATTGCACCGCACCTTGTCTCCCATCTTATCGTGGCCGCAGTAGGCCTGGAGGTCTTTGCAGGCTGCCTCGATCGCAAACGATCCGGTGGAACTCTGTTGGTTGGGGGTGCATTGCGGGGCGGGTCGGTTGGGCATTAATTGATCCAAAGACTGGCACAAAGGGGGTGAACGTTTGCCCTTAAGCGGAAACCAATTGAAGTCAAACCAACGTTCTACGCTTGGGTGTTTGATCATCCTTTGAAGGCTCGGAGTAAACTCTGTTCCATCTTCCAAGGTTTGGGGGTGATTTTCAAAATAGAGCTATCTGCAAAAAAAGAAGGAAATGCACAGCTACAGTTATGCGACCCTTGTAAACATCAACCTGGTAATTGTGGAAAATAAAGGTTCCCCTCTTACCCTGCCAAGAGAGCGCGTTTGGAATGCACCGCTCAAAAAGGGCACCGCGCCATCAAAAACAAAACAACTAGAGCACAGGGGTCGAATCAGGTGCGGGAACCGACAACCCTTGCCCGCCACGCGGCACTCCACCCTTCAGGCAAAAGACGAAGAAGAAGAAGAAGTGTATGTAAGCTAACCAAACGGCACCACACAAGCAAGCGATAACTCTTTTATCCAAGCAATGTGTTGGTGCCAGGGACTCATCTTCCCCTGTCAGATGTCTACGGCTGGGTGGGCCCCATGGGCCACCCACCACAAACTCTCAAAAACTGAAGAACGGGTGTGCAGACTGATAGCGCCCGCCCCTGGGCCGGGGCCAGGGGCACCCAGGCCACAGGGGGGTCTGCCACCAGGGGAAGTGAGTCACCCACCGGCTCCGGTCACGAAAAATGAACTCCTCGCAGAGTTCCTGTTTAGGAACTCTGTGCAAAGGGTCGAACCCCGAGAAATCTGGGTGCGTCAGCTCATCGGCCCACTGGTTGAATTCCCGGGGCACGTGGTTGGCCGCCAGCGAGCAGTCATGGGTGTGGAGCAGGAAGACCAGCTCCATCAGGATAGCCGCGGTGTAGGGCTTCTTGGATCCAAGGTTGAGCATCGCCATGACGTTGCCCTGATTGTCACTGCCCACCGGGAGTCGGACCCGGGAGGACAGAGGGCCTTGGTGCGTGAGGTTCATGTTACAGAGGAAGAGCGTGCCCAGCATTTCCAGAGCCGCAATCCTCCGCTTGGGATCCCCATTCTTGAATGCCCACGGGTACTCCTCCACGTGAATCTGCTCGTGGAACCAGTACACCTCCTTCTTCTCCGGCTCCACTTTGTTGGAGCACCAGCCTCCCACAAATGCCAGTCCTTCATCCGAGGCGCTAGCATCGCTGCAACCCCACCAAGAGGACTTCGGCAAGTAAGGGGAGTACTGGACGAAGGGCGTGTTGAAGAGGAACCGCAGCATGAACGCCAGCATCCTGACCACCTTAGGGCCGGGGGGCACGGTGCCCCAAGTGAACCCAACGACCCCCCCGAGGCGGCAGAGGGAACCATCTCCCCACACGCCGGGGGACAACAAGCGCCAGTCCCTGAGGCTGAAGGCCGGCCAACAAGCGTTGGCGGGACTAACCTTGGGCTCACGTCCGGTCTCGGCCTCAGACAATCCTGAGGTCCGGACACCAACACAGCCGGCGGGCAGGGAGGTCGAACTACGGGGTGAAACTCTTCCCTTTCAGCCATGGGCACGCCATTGCATGGAGATCTCGGACCACCCTGCCGATCACGCACGACCCAACTCTCTCCGACAAGGTTATGCAGCGCCCCCTCAGGGACGGGGGTGGGAAGCCCTCACTTGGACGGCTGGCCCCGTGGACTCGGCCATTGTCCAAAGCAGCAGCACTGGGGGCCAAGATCTGTGTCCTCACGTCACCATGGGGGGACAAACTCCAGGAGTCGCTCTCGTTGGGGGACGGGTCACACCCCTTCCCGGAGGACCTGCTGGAAGATATCAGGGAGATCCTGGCGCCAGGGGCAGGCCGACCAGCGGAAGGCCAACCCTTCTTCCTGGACATCTTGCACAGCCTGGCGATGAACATTCAGGACCCCGACCACCAGTTTCCTCGGGGTCTGGAACAAGGGGTCCTACTGGGGGTCACGGACCCAGCCCTAGTCTCGCCGGGCATCTGGCCACTCAAGAAGGAGCTAAAAGGGGAGGAGCCGGAGTTCCAGGAACTCCCTCATCCCACGGGCCGGGGTAACTACCCCTCAGCGGATCACTTCAGTGAGCTCATCCGTAGCACATTCCTGGAGGAGGTCCCCATGGGCATGGTAGATGGCCCTCTCACCAAGGTAGAGGCAGCAGCGCGCTGTGGCTGCAATATGGAGGATCTTTGCCCAGGCCCCCTAGCGGGCATCGACGAAGGGGACAAGATCCGCACCATCTACGATGGCTCGGTGGGCGGGGCCAATGACACCATCAGGAACCAGACGGTGGAAAGGACGACGGCTCCGACGGTGCTGGATGGGGTACAAGCTCTTCATTGGCTACATGCGGCAGCTGAGGAGGGACCTCCCTCTCAGGGTGCCCCCGGCCCCGAGAGGGAGGTCGCTAAACCTCCACCCGAGGGCTGGCAATGGCCGGAGCCGGGCACCAGGTGGGTGCTGCTCAAGGCGGACGTCACCAAGGCCCACCGGAGAGTGAAGGTCCTCAGGAAGGACTGGCGGTTCCAGGTGGCCTCACTGGGGGAAGAATGGTGGGTGAACAAGGTAGGCACATACGGCATGGCCAGTGCCCAATCCTACTGGGGACGCCTGGCAGCCCTTCTACTCAGGGTCCTCTACGCACTTTTCCCTCAAGTGGATTGGAACTTCGTCTTTGTGGATGACTTCCTGTGGCTGCTTCGCAGCAAGGGGGCAGTGAACTTGGCGGTGGCGCTGTTGGCAACACTCCTGGCCTTGGGCACCCCGCTTAGCTGGAAGAAGACACATTTGGCGGAGGTCAACACGTGGCTGGGCTTCGTGGTCCACCCGAACATCCCGCAGGTTCTCATGGCCGCCAACAAACACATCCTGGTGATGGAGGTCTTGCAGATCATGGTGGAAGGGCAGGCGATGCACTCAAAGGACATCGAGAAGGCCCTGGGCCGCATCCAAAGGGCAACTGCTGCATGTCCGCTGGCGAAGTCGATGCTTCAGCCACTGTGGGCCTGGAAAATGGCCACCACCACGGTGGGGAAACCCCTCCAGGACGGGTCCCGCTCTGCAGAGGATGGCCGCTGCGAGACCCTGCATCATCCAATGGTGAAGGGGAAGGTCCGTTGACAATGTCGTGGACTTCACTACCACCTGGCCCAGGCGGCACTCGTCAAACTTGATGAGGGAGTGGTGGAGTGCGTTCCAGGAAGGAGGAGCCCACCTGCGGGACCGTTCGTTGACCTAGTCCTTGGTAGGCCAGCGAGGTCAGGCACATCTGTCGGAGCATGAGCACGCTGTCGTTGTCCGTGTCCTCCCTTACCCGGGGCGCCAGGTCCTCCAAGCCCCACAACATCCCCCTCACCGGCGGCGGGCCTCCCGGTTTGGGGAACCATCTGAGAATGCTCCACGTTCTGCAGTTGGGGCCGCCCCCCACAAAGGCGACCTTGCCCGCCATGGCCATGGTGCACAGGCTCGTCTCCCAGCATGTCATGTCCAAGATCGCCACCCTTTCGCCTAATGTCCACTGCCCAAATGTACTCCGAGAAGGCCGGTTGTAGGCATGGAGGTAGGCATCCAGGGCCCCCGCGTCGTCGTCTGTCTGCCTTCCGCTGTGGCTCTGGTGGGATTGGCTCTCCCCCGCTGTGTGCGCTCTCGCACTGGTGGCCTGTGATCCCTTCGGAGACCAGGCAGCCACGGGGCCCATGGCACCCTGAGTGGCCTCCTGTCACTTGGGGAGGTGTGGGCATGCCTGTCACACACCCACCCATCCTTCCTGACCGGGCAGTTGTGGGATCGACCGCATGATCCAGGGCATTTGTTGTGAAGGTGATGATCCCTGCATACGCCACCCCTTTGGGATTCTTGAAAGCCCAGTGGTCTGGCCATGGGGTCGAGGAGGTGTTGGGGGACTTCCCTTTGCCGCCCTTGCCCTTCGGCTTGGGTAGGCCCCGAGGACTTCTCCCACTGAGTCTGCCACACCTTGGGTGCCTTGCTCTTGCTCTTCCCCTTCGTCGGCGCCCTGTTGAGGTGCTCATAGACCTCCCATTCCCAGAAGAGGAAGTCGCCCCTGATGTTCTTGAGGGCTTCGGAGAGAGTGGTGCCCTGGTGCACCATCTCGTGAATCTTGCGCCATGCATTGCGCTCTGCAAACAGCAAGGTGGTGTCGCTCGGGGGAGGCTTCCTGCCGGCTATGTCCTCCCCATAGAACCATACCAGTCATCCAACTCCTCCTTGGTGACCCTCAAATTGCGGCAGTGCTGCCGTGCACATCAGGAGCGTTGTCCTGAAGGTTAGGTGCAACCGTTCCAGCTGGCGCCGAGATGTAGGGTGGCTCCTCACCTCTTCTTCATCCTCCCTGTCCCAGCCGTCCACCGTGATCTTCTTGTGGGTGGATGAAGGGCATTCCCCTTCTTCCGGGAGCGCGCTCACGATGTGTTTTGCCGGGATGTAGCCCAATTCGCCCTTGGCAATCATGCGCCATTGCTTCTTAAATTAGCCATCACTACCCTAGAATTCCAACCTCGGCTTCGGGGCCCTATGCGTGGCCACGTAAGCATCTTCCAGCTGGCGCCTGTCACACAGGACTTCTAAGGGAGCCTTTATCGGGCCCGCATGGCCCGCCGGATGGTCACCCTGGTTGCCCCCCCTGACCAAGTTTGCTGCCACCCGTACTGCCTGAAGGAGGCGCATTGCCGTGAAGGCCGAGGTCTGGGCGTTGAATCCATTCTCTCCATCCTGGAATCCCAGGTCCCGGGGACCATTTTCCCTGGCCGCAGCCGGGGTGTTCCAGCGATCCGCCAGGTCTTCTGCGCCCAGTGCCGCTTGGATGACCCAGATTTCCTTGCCCACCAAGATGGCCGCCAGTGGCTTCTGCAACTTCGCCACGTCTTCCTTGATCGCGGCTGGGACCTCCTCCGGTGGTTTGGCGGGCGCCGCAGCCATGACCTCTT